CGTGACTTAAACCGTGCAGTTTCTGTAGCTGGCGCTGTTCAGGCCATACTTCACTTGCTGATGGCTTCCTCCCCGCTCTTGGTAAGAGCAAGGGGGTGAGATCCCATCTGCATCCGTATTTCAGCATAATTACTCCTGCTTGAGCCCATGCGCTGAACATGAAGCTATGATATTTTAAGTTGGATATCTAAACCATGCTCGTTGTAATTAAATTTCCACATGCATTTTTTAAACCCAGATTTTAGGTTCAGCATTAATATTTCAGTGTGCTACATTAACTAGTGAACTGCAAAAATGCCTACAGTTTGGGGGAGAGGGGGAGGCTGCATCATGCTGAGTCCAGAACAAGAATATTTCATGCTGTATCAAAGTGTTTACACAACCTATCAAAGCCTTTTTTCCCCTCCTTTTCACAAAAAACAGGTACAGAAGTTGTCCCATACACCTCAAAGCAGTGGCTGTGTGCTGTCCTGCGAGGACACACTGCTCCAGACAACGCACTGCAGCTACGAGTAGCCTTGCACTAACACCGAAAGGTTTGTCCTTACAAACAAAAGCTATTATAGGACCTTGGATCACAAACAACATGATCACATCAGGAAGAGATATCACCTTAACATAAGGATATTTTAATTTCATTATGATGGCTGTGAGATATAGGACTAGTCTGGGAGAAGCCACCCATCAGCCAGTGCCACCCACACCACATGCTCTGGCAACTTTCCTTAGGGCAATCAGCAATGTTAAAGTGTGACCTGAAGTGTGACATAAATTCCATACGAAAGAAAAGGTTTTCTTGCCACTTCTCCCAGAAGGATGCTGGTGGCTCTCCCAGTTATTTTCTATAGGCAAGCCCAAACCTAACTAGCTCCCTGTGGACTAGAGTAGCAATCTGCAGACTGGCAGATGTGCAGTGAGAAACACTCACCAATAAGCTCATCTTAACCACAGAAATTTGCCTCCAAAGCAGGGCTGAGATCCTCTGGTGGCGGGGGGGGAAGAAACCTACATAAGTGAACTGGACAAAATAATAAAAAGAGAAAAGCACTGATGGAATCATTTGCAAATTAATGAAATCCATGCTGATGAGCCCATTACTCTGCTTCAACTGTTTGTGCTAAACAGCAGCTCGGTTTTGATTAATGCAGCGATTACGCCGAGCTTCAGCCTGCTTTGCATTCCCCTCACCTCCTGCGCTCGGCGTTTGCCTGCGCAGTTTGTCGGGCACGGGTAACCCCGCGCCGGGAGGCTGCCCTGCCCTTCGGGACAGCGTCCCGCAGCAGCGGGGAGCGCCGCTGCCATTCCGAGGGCAACGCACACACCGCTCCTGCAGTTCCTTCGGCACCTTCCCCGCGCGGACGGCTTTCCTAATACTACATGACGGAGCATTACGTATATTTTTCAAAGATGCCGATTTTGCCTACCCCGGTGCAGTCTTCAGAAAGTCAATCTGACAGGCTCAAGGAACCAATCCAAAGAGCTGCATCATCCCACTTCGAAAAATATCTTTGTCTCTCAGCAAGCTAGAAACCATCCCCCAGGCAAGCAAGAGCATCAAAACCACTTACAAAGCAAGATTAAAGGCTGCAATGCAATTGCAACACAGCAATGGGGACAAATTCCATGCAATAAGCAATTGAATAGTGTTATATAGGTGTCATAAGCATTATTTGGCAGGCTATTTGGGGATCTCCATGCAAAGAATAATCCTGGATACATAGGAGATAACAGAAAAAAACTCCTTTTGATATTGGTATATGAGGAAGAGCCAGTGGGTCATTACCCTTATGTCTACAGGCATGTAGAGTACATGGCATATAGGGTCCAGCACAAGCAGGCACGTACAGGCATGTACACACACACTCACACATAATTCCTAGTATTTCAGTACAGAAGTCAACTTTTCTGAAGAGCAACCATGAAGATTTACTCCTTAGAGCTATTTTATAAAAATTGCCCGTGAATCACATGCCCTAGCAGCAGCTAGTACCAGCTATTAGACACGATGGAAAACAAGCGGCCCAGCACAGGAACTGCCACACGTGAGTTACTGGGTAAAGGGAAGGTCTCTGGAGGCATCGAGTTGGCCCTTCAGCACTCGAGGCCGATAGCGCTACACAGCTCGGAACAGCATTTACGACTCAAGCTACTTAACCAACACATGGGACTGCTCCAGGGAGACAACCTACTTGTTACCTCAGCTAAGCCCCGCAATGTAACATACGGCAGCAACCACCCTTGGTCATCTTACCTGGAATAGCTATGCTTCAAACACAAAGCTATACATTTCCTTGCAGATATAGCAAGGTAAGAGCTCGAGGGAAGGCAATAAAAATACATAAAAAACAGTTCTCTATTACCTGTCAGACATGTTCTGATCTAAATACTGTGAAGAAAGATGTGCCTACAGAAGGGAGAGCTCTCACTCTTCTTCGTAACCTTGCAAAATTAAAATTAAATTAAAATTATCAGGTCCTTTATTCTTTCTGCCTGTTTCTTAGGCTGCAGGCTTTCCTTTTTAAGGAATTTCAAGTTCATTTTTCCAAGCAGCACTCTCTCCTCCAGTTTTACAGTGCACTTTTTAACCTCAAACTTTCTATCTGAACCTTCTTAAGGTGGAGCAACAAACCAAAACAAACCCCAAAGACAACCTTTAGTTAGAAGGAAACTTGTGTGCTTGCCTCTTACTCCTTCATACTCCAAATACTACTCGTGGCACTTTACCAGCCGTTTCTTCTGGGGCCAATAGAAGCACATGCACAACCTCTTTTAATGCAGGACAGGAATCTCACACCCCACACAGGCACACCCATGCCCACAGATATGCCAGATATTCCCATCACTCTTCATATGCTTGTATTAAATTCCTCCTTTATGTCAACCTGTGCGACTAATCAGTATTTTGAATAGAACAAGCTGAAAACCCCAAAATCTAAGATTGGGAGCACAGGCAATGAGTGAGGAGAGAGCCTGCCTATCTCCACAAGGAACCCAGATAACCCATCCCAGCCGGCTCCTTGAGATTTGCATTACCTCTCAGAGACATCTCAAACACATTCAAACAAATATGCCTAAACAACTGCAGATCTCTGCCTTTTTAACTTAAAACCAAAAAAAAACAGAACAACAAAAAAAAATCTTGCAGGAGTTGGCATTAACTGTGCACAAAAGCAACATGCATTTTACAAGGTCATTAAAACAACCTTCCTGCTCAGACTTGAGTCAGCGCCCTCAAATTTCCTTCTCCACCTCAATTTATCTTCCTTCAATTGAAATCACTGTTAGCGCAGATTAGGTTTATCAACTTTATCAAGCAAAAGCAGTAGCTCCTGCCTCCACGGCTCCAAATGAGCTGAAGTGGAAGCCAATCCTCTGCACTCAGCTCCTCCCATTCCCCATCAAAACAGCAACTATTCTTGTAGGATATTAGTCTCCCATCATCCTGCTTGGGACACTGAAACCATGAAGCACTAAAAAAATAAAAATAATTTTAAAATCCTACTGCACATGTAAATAACTGCTGCCTTTCATAGTTAAGGCTTCCAATGTCTCATAAAAATAGCTTTTTTTTTTTTGTCTGTTTTTTACCTTCAGTAGATTGCAGGAAAGGAGGAAGATAAAGCTCCTCAGGACCTACATTCGACGGCAGACAGGAGGCAAATTCAGGATTTCGAATCCCCAGTTCATTTATCCTTGCAGACACAATTAACCTCCTATGAATCCGGATATGAAAACCCTTGGCTTCATCTCGCAGCTCCTAAGTAATCTCAGTCTTCCTTCTCCATAAGGACAATCCAATACAATCCTTGAGCCTTCAGGGGGGTGCAGCACCCAGCTGGACAGCAGGACCAGGGCACCAAGTGCCCACACAAACCACAGACAGTAACGAAATCCCTGCAGTGTTGCATGGGCACACAGCGGGGCTGTGTGTTGGACACGTGTCCAAGTGTCCCAAACGGACTCAGAAGGAAGCGACCCACTCCCACCACGGGGTCAGGAAGGCATTTCAGAGAAAGTAAAGATACAGGAGATAGTACAGCTTCTACCACCAAGATCAATGGCTCCTAAATAGGAGGATGTATCTATACACACACACACACACACAAAGCCAAAAGCCTAGAGACCATAAATGGACAATAAACAGCATCTTGGCTTCTGAAATGCAACACTCACTTAAAACACGACGATCAAACAATCACCACATACTCAATGCATCAGCATTGACTGCTGCATCCCATTCTGAAGATCTTCCTTAAGCAAAATTCTTTAGTTCAAGATTAAAACTGAATGAAGACACTTGGGGGGAGCTTGCTGTGTCACAACATATTTCAAGCAATTCTCAACTGTGGTACTCAAAAGTGAAACTGACCAAAATAGGTGGACTTGGCAGTGATCTTCTGTTTCCTTAAGTACCTTTATATGCCCCCCGTGCAGGTGACTTGAGGGTCATATATCCAAAGAGAACAAGTATCATCTACCCAGAGATGCCTGGATTACGTGGTAGGGCCTGGCAAGATAACCACGATAAGATATTTAAACACCACAAGCTGGCTAGGTAAGACACCTAATAGCTGCATCAGCAGAAGTGGCACCTGATCAGACAGCTCCCTTGTAGGAGCCCTGGTCTTTAGGACCTGGGTACTCTGCCATTTGCATCATTCCTACTGAGCAGAATTTCCAATCCTCTGCCAATCCTTGCTTATATATTTGGAGCGTTTCCAGGCAAGTTGCATCCTTAAGGTCTTGAGGATTTCAGCTCCTCAGAGGCATGATACAGATTTCCACTGAAAATAACCTTTCCTCATCACAGGTGCTGCGCACTGGCTTTAGACCCCCTCTTTGCCCCCTCCAAAAACCATATTCCTGACACTTTTGAAGATGCAATTGCCAAGTGCAGAAGCTCCTTCAAGATGAAGCCTATAATACCCCATTCCTGGAGAAAGATCACAGAGGCTGGATACAGGAAAGGACTGTCATTAAAGCCATATGAGCCCCACAGCTTCTGCAGGTGCTCGGGGGCTGCTCTGCAGAAACCATTATTAGACTTTCGGGGAGATTTTGGTAACGAGCCAGGCTGCCACCTCCAGCATTGCCTCCAAGGGAGCAGAGTGTGAGTCTAGAGAGAGGGTAACTCAAGGAACGGCCCAAAATAACCCACTTGGATTGGCAGCACGAACAGGAGCCTCCGTGCAGCCTGCCAGCTTTCTGCTGGGGGCTGGCAGCGAGGCGGGATTGTAGGTGGTGAACGTTGTTTCACAGGAGGCTGCCGAGGCGCTGCAGAAACAGGCGGCTCTGGCAAGAGCCAGCGGCTTCTGCGTTTGGGGCTGGATCAACCCTCCCCGTGTTTATTGCCCCTTTTTAGGGTTTCCCTCCATGCTAAGGCAGCTGTTACCAGGGGCCCGGAGTCCCCCTCACCTCATGCCCGGCCGAGGGGCCTCCTCTCCT